ATTATAAATAATTTATGTACTCCTCAGTGTTGTTTAAAAAATTGAAATTATTATCATTACCTATCCTATAACTATATCTACGAAGGTCATGTGAAATTTTCAAGTCGTCAATTTTTTCCTCACCGGCAGGGTTTCAAGAACAACGTATTTAAAGTTTTGGGAGCCGATGACACTAAATTAAAAAATTCTTACGAATACGCACATAGCTCCGAAACTTGTTTGCCGAATAAGCATCGGAGAATATTCTCAAATCTATTTAGGTTCGACTCGATTCCTTGAAACAGAGAGTTGTGATACCTCTTAAAAGTTGTGCTTGGCAAAAAAGCTTTCGGTTACCTTAAGTAAGTTTTTTACTGCTGCTTCACTGCGACGTCATTTGTTTACATAGTAGTACGTTACTTCCAGATAATATTTTTGTTTTAACATTGGAAATTGCAAATTGGCCCTTAATTGCGAAGCAAGTGCAATTTTTTGCAATCCGGTTTAGCTTATTGCAGACTTAGCAAGCGATAAAAGTTTTTGATTATTTTTATTTCATCGGTAAATTTTGTATTTATGTTTTAGCTGGATCTACAGAGTACCGCGACTTATCTATTAGGCACTGCATGACCTTTAAATGAATGAATACATAAAAAATTCACAGCATAAATACAATATTTAAATTCAAAAACTTTAATATTCTCTTATTTGACCCTCTGTACATTAAGCTGTTGCATTGACAATCAACTGAGGAGGGAAAAAATATTGAAGCAGAATACTATACGAATAATTGAAGAATGGATATTTTCATTTATCATTCATGAACCATTCATAATAGTAAAAGTTACCTAAAATATGCAAAACAACATTTGGCAGCATTGAAGTTTTCAAATGTAAATTTTTTGACAAGAGAGTAGAGAAGTGATCATTCCAAAACAGCTAATATCTGCGAAAAAGTATTTTTAATATTTTTATATTTAACATTTCGTATTTGAACGTTAGCATTTATCAACCCAAAAAAATTTGATCTATGTCGTAACTTTTAAAACGTAAAATCAACAATATATCATAAAAAAATTAAATTTAAAATGTTTTTTGAGGAAAAATTACGGCATTTGATTTATATAAATATCCACAATTTCTTGACGGCTAACAAAAAAGCTTCACATGAATCAAATAATATAAATAAAAAGATAATATATTTAGATATCATTAGTATCCAAACAAATTACCTGGAAAGAGTTTTAAGAAGAAATAATCCTGATTTTGTATAGATATATATATTTGATTCATTTTATTAATCCTGCAATTCAATTAGCTCGTAAATCACTTTTTTTTTTTTTGTAAAGAGAATAAAAAACCTTAATGGTAAATCTTTCACTTCAAAAACAGAAACAAGACTTGTCACTTAAACATTTTATTGACTTTCCAGAGTCCCTTAATTATTGTATATTAACAAAACTGTCACATAATTATTCATATATTGGCAACAATTTAGTGTGAAAAAATGACGCCTAAACCAAGCGAGCAGAGAATTGTATTTCCTCAGAAGTACCTACTGGCGCACTGAAAGGCAATCGCTATTTTTCGCTCTAATAAATATTTTGTAAAAGCTATTTTTATCTGTCCACTTCCTTTCTTACCATATTAACACTCACCAAATGTCTTATACAAATATATATCTAAAAGATTTATGTTATATATACAAATTTATCTAAAAGATTTATGAATTCGTCAGTGAAACTTGCTGAGCAAAATAGAAAAAAAAGGAGACATGTCTTCTTAAATTCTCGAAATTAAGCAATACTTGAGTGAATTTTTCGATGTTTTAAAAGCTCGTCATGGCAGAATAAAATAATTTCTTTAATTTGTTAAAAGTTTTATCAGTTAGCAATATTGAACACTGGTTTGTCGCTTTCTTCGTCATCGATCCAGCATAATGTCAGCAAAAGTTCATATAATCGATTACAAACAGCACATCGACAAGCATGATCAAAGATTTACAGTTCACAAAATTTGACTAAGGTGACTGAGGTTGTGGCCTGAGCAAACACTCATAATGTATGATCTAAATATCTCATGTTTAAAATGTGTATCAGCTTAAAACATAATTATGATCTGTGCAGACTTTAAACAGCATCTATCGTTACCATAAGGCTAAATAAAGAGTCGAGTGAAAAGCGTTACACTGGTTTAGAACATTAAGAAAAATACTAGTACTGTCAGTGGAGCTTTGTAGATATGAAAAGCATATTAATATCAGCATTGACTGACCACAGCGGTTTCTCATAGCCAAAGGGAATCAGAATATTTCGATTTGTCTACTTAGATTTGAAGCTAATAATTTAAGCGCCAGTTAGAACATGTTGTTCAAAAAACCCTTAAGATAATAATAACCATGATACTAAGAGTCAAAATCTTCTCCAAAATTAATTTAATGACATGTGTACTATTTTCACCTAAAGTAAGTACTAAGAGTGGCTATCAACCCTTAAAAAAATTTCACTTTTTAGCAGAGTTCCAAACCAAAGGGACAACGTATCTCCTGCCAATCCTAGAAACTATATTCAATATTTTCACTAGCGTCATCATCTTATTTGAGCATAATAATTTAAAAAAAAATCTTAAAATATCATAATCAGAAAGTTTTTTTAATATTCTTCAAAACTCTTTAAAATCTACCGTTATTTTTATTACAATATTTTCAGAAACGAGGTTAGGCGTAAAGTAGATGACAAATGCAGTGTAATTATTTTAATTGTGGTAATTATGCAAATCTCGTAATTATCTACAGTATTGCATTACTAAATATATACGTACATACATAAACGTACTTGGTCTCTACACGTTTGCGTGCGATTGGGTTAAGTTTTGCTCACTCTCTCTCTCTCGTCTTGTTCTTATACTCGTATCCACATTGCACAAAATTTAAGTCATCTACAGAACTTTAAAACAAATACTGAGCCAATACAAGCATGCCAAAGCTTAGTTCAATTTTCCATACACTTGTTATAAGCCTCGAATGGAATGACTTTCAATGCCCTCAGCGAGTTTTCGTGTTTTCGGTTTTAGCTCATTTTTAGAACGCCATTCGTTAGATTGTCCAACAGTTCCGACGTCATATATAGAAACTCACGTTTTCTCGGCAGCTACGTTTTTGCATTAGATTCAGGTCTTTTGGTTCGAGTCTAGCATTGACACATCATACTGTGTTAAAAAAACTGTGTTGAGTCGATCCATAAGATATTATATGTTGATATCCTCTGCAATCTCATTGATGACAACACGATGATTTTTAAGCACTGTTTCTATAAAAGCTTCGAAATGCACACTAATTGACATATGGAGATCAAACTAGTTCATGCCAGTCCGGGCCAAATTTGATCAGATGGAATTTGGCTTTTAAGAAGGGAAATAGGATAAAACAGTTCAAAAGCTCAAAAATAAAAAAGCTAAAAATTACAAAAACTAGCAGCTTATGAAGAGGGGGTCTAAAAAAATTGGCTCCTGATCATACCCACGATTTCAATCCTCCTAGCAATCGGTAACAAAAAAAATATTAATCTAGAATCTTTAATGTCGAAATGTCCAGTGCTACGGAAAAGTTAGCAATTTTTTTTACGAAATAGCAACTGCCTGAACAACAAAAAAAATTCTATACCACTTTTTTGACTGTTTCAAATTTTTTAAAAATGGTTAAAATTGGAATTTGGGGATATGGATAGTTACAGACCTAGATAAGTCTATAAAAAATACTCTCCAAAAATTTCAGGTAAATCGTACCTGTAGAACCTGAGAAACCGTGGGTATCATTTTGAAAAAGACAGTTTCTAGAAAAATGCGTTTGAAGCTTTAAAGCGAACCAGTTCGGATGCCGGGTTAGCAAAATACCTTTATCTCCGAAAATAATTTTAAATTTGAAAAATCCTCTTATAGACATATTCTTGAATAAATAAATTTAGAAAATATAAAAAAAAAGATTTTGTTTTATTTCTAGACTTGAATACCACCTTAAAATTACTTTTTTTAACATGCGTACACGCTAGTTTGAAAAGTTTTGGACAATCGTTTTAAAAGTTAGCAGTTACTTCCTGCGCTCTATATGAATAAAAACTCGAAATATTATCATTATTTAATATATTGTTTTTTTTTTTATTTTATAGTATATACATACATTTATATAAGTACTTAAATATATGAATAAAATATTCTCAGAGTTTCAATAAATAAAATGAATATTTTTTTAAAATAAAAAATGCATTAAAGTCATTGAGAAAACGCGGTCAAGCACCTATTTCTGCTTTAAGCACAAAAATTTTAGAATTTAATACACCAAGTACCTCCTTTCAAGCACACAAATATACACAGCAACAATTTTAGATTTAGTGATAAAATAGTAATGCAATAATTGCTAATTTGATTTTATCATCTTAACTAGTTTAAATGCAAATAAAATAAACTTGTTCGCGAGGTACAAAAAAGGAGAAGCTCATAATTTTATAGCATAACTTTGTACCTTCATCCAAAAATTATTCGGCAAAGAGCACAAGAACGGCATAGCTAAAATCGCTTAAGACAAGCTAACAAAACTTGCAAGTACAACAATAGCAACAACTGAACTTATGTCAAACTATGCGCAATGCTTTCTTAGTAAATCCTTGTGAACCTCAAAAACTAGGTTGCCAACTCCACTTTCGCAAATTTTCGTCCTAGTAGCAACCCACGGCGCTTCGATACTACACTGCACATACTAACATACATATCACTTGTATATAGCAGTGATTTTTTGAAGCACGCCCACAACAGACAGTAGACTCCATTCCAAATTATATTAAATCGTTGCTCTAATAAACTTAAGCCACCTGATTTGTTGTGGCCGCCATGGCAACAAGTAGACAACTTGCTCTACATTATGCGCACAAACCATGTGCCCACGACGGTATGTCAGACTTCAATTCATTCCGATACAAATCGCACCATTTAGTAGTCATCGATTTTTGGAGCGCGCGAAACGCGTAAACGGCATTGCGGTTCTGGTTGGTTGGCTTACTAACGCAGGCGGAGGCGTGCGTTTCAAGCTATGCATGAAAAGTCCGGTGAAAATGCCAACGGGAATTACAAGAAAGAAGCCAACGCTGAGAAGCAACCACCATCAGATGGAAAATTGGATACCGTTCCAACGCCGCTGCAACCAACCGAACCAGCGCAGTCGACACCAGCCGAGTCCGCGCCCTTTAAAGTGAGCAAAACGCTCAAGACTACAACGCATGTAGAGACTAACACAGTGGTCACAACCAATGCTACAACTACAGCTACCTTAACAATCACTGCCACAGCCGCCGCCACCCTCAGCAAAGCTAACAAACCGATAACTGCCACAATCACCACCGCAACCGGTAAAGAGATAATACCCAGCGCACCGCCTAGCAATTACTGTAATCGTCGCACTTGGATTACAACCGATCGACTAAATGAGTTACGTCGCCGCGCACAAGAGGCGGTCAAGCAGAATAAAACCTTCACCATACGCGGCTCTTTTCATTCCGTACGCAATGCGCTTGTGGCACGCGGTTGGATTGAAAAATTGGACGTGCATCGCAAACAAATACCAACGGGTGTGTGTCAAGTGACATATGACGATTTGGCGCAAGATTTGCCCAAACGCAAACCGGGCGAGACGCGTCGTCAGTATATTGCCAAATGTGAACGTAATATTATGTCGCGCTTTCTTGAACACATGCCTATCGACTTTTTATGGACGAATCGCAAGGAGAAATGTGACTATATAGACCAAGCTAAAAATCCGGGTATGATTATTAATAAATTTCATCGCGCGCCATTCACTTCCAAGGAGGGTTTGTGTGCACAACTGAAGGACTTCCATTGGTTTTACGAGGAGGGTATGTCTGAGTTGTATTTTCCACGTTGTTACAATGTTTGGAGCCTGGAAGAGTTGGCCGAATTTATGGATAATTTCAAGCTCACTGCATGTATTGCATTCATACGCGTCGTTGTGGATCGTTACCGTCGGAAGGGTCTCGATTCGGTTTTCTCCACCATGGGCACTGTACCATATAATAGCATAGATTTTGCAATTAAGCGTTGCAGCGATTACTTGGATAGTTGTCAACACAAAGATATCGATTTGGATGAGCTATCACGTGTGTGGGAACATGAATGGGATGTCTTTTTTCATCAGCATCAGCAGGTCGTAACGGAGGAAGCGAAAATATTTACAGAACCTACACGTGCTCCTGAGTATACGATAAAACTGACTATACAACTGTTGGAGCATCTGCAAAACTTTTGGCCGCAATACACCTTGGATGGTTATCAGAATTTGTGGATTGTAAAGCCGGCAAATAAGTGTCGTGGACGTGGCATACAATTGATGGATAATTTAAAGAAAATTCTAGTGCTTGTAAATCCGTCCATAGGTTCGAAGAGTCGTTATGTGGTGCAAAAGTATATAGGTAAGTGTGTTACTACGGGGTTTGCCAGAAACATTGACTATTATTGCGAGAGACCTTTGAATTTCTTCAAAATGTTTCGTTTAAATCTTCTCCTCATACAGTCTGGTATTGAAGAACTAGCAAACTCCTGACAAGTTGTGTAGATTTATAATGGAAATAGAAACTAAAAAATGGACTATAATGAAATCGTTAGAAAAATGACAGCGGGCTATGTCGATTGTAGTTGTTTTGTTGTCGTAACAACAGAAATCATACCTAATATAAGTTATGCTGTCTAGCTGGCAATCCTTGGTCGGATATAAAATTGGGAACGTTCCGGTTTTGTAGATCTGACTGTCATAGGAACGAAATATCCCAGCAAATAGCAGCAGAAAACATTCCTAGACTTATTTAGAGGAATACTGTCGTGCTGGCAATCCTTGACCGAACCTACATTTGGATCAGTCCTTGTTTTTTTGATCCGACTTTTGCAAGAATGGAATATCCCAGCCAATAGCGGCAGAAAACATTCCAAGACTTAATTAGAGGAATACTGTCGAGCTTTCAATCCTTGACCGAACCTACATTTGGGTCAGTCCTTGTATTTTGATCCGACTTTTGTAGGAACGAAATATCCCAGGCAATAGCAGAGGTATTAGTGGAACGTAGTAGCGTCTGGAGAGCATTATAAGGCCTAATAACAACTAGTTATTTAGATTAGTCTTGCACATCTGATATGGCTTGGTTCGCCGGATATCATTGCCTTAAATCTCAAATGAACCGACTAAATCCGTTTGCTGATTTCTGTCCCACTCTAGTTAGACAAAGGCTCAATTGTTTTGGATCTGTTTATCTAATCGTATTAGCCCAGAAAATAGGAGTCCTACGCAGCTTCTCATAGTAGATGGATTTCTACTACGCAGGATCATCCTGTATAGGAAAAGTCTTTTTGACGTTCAGCGACTTCTTAAATCTTTGTTACTTGAACGTTTCTGGAATTGACAAACACACGAAAAAAAATTTTGAAATTGTTTTAGCCAACCTAACATAACAATAACATAATAATAATAAGGTTATTAAAAGTCATTTAAACCTGAGCCGATGCAGAGGCTTCTGTTGAATAACAACAAACTCACGACAGTCTTGAAGAGAAGCTATTCCAAAAAACAAATATACATGGTCTCTTACTACTGCTACTTACCAAACCAAATAGGGTTAAATCATCAAAAAAAAATAATTAATTGACAAATAGTCTCATCGTAGTACTGGACCCTTGAGCCGCGTTTTACGAATATAACGCTTTATTATATACATATATCCCTTTCACTACGTTACGAAATTTAATAGTAAGAAAGCTCATAAAAATAGTCGATGAAAATCTGCTTACACAAAATTATAAAAATGTATGACTTCACATTTTCTATTTAATTTCCAACCTACAATAAGCGCATGCAATTTTCAGTGGAACTATAAATGTAATAAAAATTAAAATGACTAAGAATAGCAAATAAATGCTCAATGTGGTAAAAATACACGCACGCGTCGAGAAAATCTCGCATGCACACGTAGAAATTATATATATGTAAATGTACATGAGTGTGACATAGGGGCGTTATGCTTGCACGTGAGTTCAGATAGGTCGAAGCTAAGGGGCAACAACGCGACGGTAAAGCGTACTTTCACCGCTTATTTAAAAATAAACACAATACAAGCGAAATGAAAGTGATATAGTTTATAATAAAATATAAGCATAATTACATGCATACAGGCACGAGTGCCTAAAAATATCAGCCACTACATCATAAGCCCTCATACTCGAGTATTGCCAACGACCCTACACAATATGATTTGGCTTTAGCACGCGGCAGCCGAAAAACACCAATGTACAATATATAAAGAAATAAATATAAATACATATGTATGTACTACCACCTGCTTGGTAGTGTTGGTTGATGGGCGCATAAAATCAATGAACTTTCAGTTTTAATGGCACGACTTCAACAGGTTGGCAATAAGCCTAATTTCCTGTCATGACACCATAAAGTTGCGTGAGCATTCAACAAATGCCAACTTCTAGTATTTGCCGTGGCGTCACAATAATCCAACAGATAGCAACAAGAAATATACATAACCTTACTTTACAGTGTCCTTGACGGCGCTTTCTCGTTAGCGAGTTTATATAGAACATACGAGTATATATTACACTATGTGGTATATACTGTGGTATGGTATATAGATACATAAATATATACATATCTATATGTAAATATGTATAACATACAACAATTTTGTAAAAACTTACCTACAACTTTCTTGCAGAACGACCGCTAATTATTCACCATACAAAGTTCGATATACGCCAGTGGTTTCTCATAACCAACGTACAACCGCTGGTTGTTTGGATGTACAAGGAGAGTTATCTGCGCTTTAGCTCGCAAGAGTATAGCTTGAGTAATCACCATGAATCAGTGCATCTGACGAATCATGCCATTCAGAAGAAGTACAACAACGGTAAGCGCGATAAACGTTTGCCCGTAGAGAATATGTGGGATTGTTACTCGTTTCAAGCTTATCTGCGTCAAATCGGCAAACAGGATATGTGGCAGGAACGCATCTATCCGGGCATGAAGAAAGCCATTGTGGGTACGATGTTGTCGTCGCAGGAAAATATGGATCGTCGTCCGAATACTTTTGAATTGTTTGGTGCAGATTTTATGATATGCGAGAATTTCTATCCTTGGCTAATTGAAATCAATTCAAGTCCCGATTTGGGTGCGACAACCAGTGTGACGGCGCGTATGTGCCCCCAATGTCTGGAGGATGTGATAAAAGGTAGGGATTTTGCATTTATTTTATTTGTTATTGGTACTGTTAATGTAACGCACGTACTATTACGGATTTATCGCATTTACTTGAGTATTTATTATTATTATTAATTATTTGTACTTGTAATCGGTACTTATTTGGTAACTGATTCTAGTAGAAAGGCTGGTAATGGTGTTTGTGCTGGTACTGGTATAATAATTAATACTAGAACTGGTTGAACTATTGTATCAGTACTAGTATTGATAATGATGATAGTGTTAACATTGGTTGTTGAAATGGAACTTCTATTTAGTTTTGATACTAGTATTAGTAATGGTAATGGTATCGATACTGGTACTGGAATGTTAGTGGTACTAATATTCATAATGGTATTGATAATGGTACTGGTAATGTTAGTGGTTCTAGTATTGGTAATGGTATTTATAGTGGTACTAGTATTGTTAACTTGTACCGTAAGTCTTATTTACTATATACTGGTACTGGTATTATATTGATAGTATTTGTATTGATAATGGTATTTGGATTGGTATTGGAGCTAGCATATAGAATAAGCATTTATAATCTTGCAAGTATTGGTATTGGTACTGATATTAGTAATGTTGCTGAGATTTTTATTGGTTGTGGTACTGGTATGAATAATTGAGCATCGAAACTATTATTTTATATAGCCCTCAGATCGATTTAGTGAAACAAACCGATGCACATATGAGTATGTATACTAGTTCTAGTAAAAAAAATCCATTATTTTGCTAATAGATGGCTTTTGTATTATGTATCTCATGTTGTGTAAGTGTCATCGGGTTACGCTAATAGCGTTCGGAAGATAAGGCTTTGTACTAAGCCGATTTTTTTACTCGGTATTGTTTTAGCACGCGTCAAATATGGACACCAGCAAAGAGAATATACGCCAAATTTTTTCTTTGGAAATGTGAATAATGTCTATAATCCTGATACTGTAGGAGTCAATCATAAGCAATTTTGGTTTCGTCAAGTCCTTTCAGGTAATTTAAATGTCAAGATATTGATGCCACGCAAGTTAACGAAAAAAACTTCATGGACCGAATTTAGAACTGAGAATCTCAATAAAATCGATTAATTTCTGATATGAGTGGCTACCAGTGATCACTTACGATATCGTCGAAAAAACGGTCCTGGTCGAATCGCGGTAGGCCAAGCCAGGACTGACGGCCAGTATGGTTTGGCCATGTGTTTGGTGATAAGCACTCGCCAAAAGCTTCAGAAACTTGTTTGGGATATTCATATGCATCTAGTTTATAGTTAGGATCTGGCACCAAGTGATTACTACCTGTGCCCTGTGTTGCATGATTTTGGTGGTGAAAAATAGGCCTTAAGAAAAGTTTGTGAAAATCAACTGTCCCATTTTTTTGTTCTATGAGAATGAAATTATGAAATTAACTTCAAAATTTAAATAAGCCATGGAACAAAATGATGCATATTTTACCTAAAGCGGAGCATTCTCACTATGCTAAATAAAACTTTCAATTTATTGCAAAAATAGGGGACTTCATTTTACTACACCTTTTGTAGGTTGGTAAAAATTAAAAGCGATCGGTTTAGTTAAAATTTAAGTCTATTTATATTATGGATTTATTATTAAATATTTACCTTTTGCTTAACTCACTGAGTCGTTGTCTTTAATTACTTGCATTCTTCCTTCGCAGTTGCCATTGATCGACGCGTGGATCCCAAAGCGGATATGGGTAACTTTGAACTTATCTACCGCCAAGTGGTACCACCAACACCAGCCTATATGGGTCTCAATCTCTTCGTTAAAGGCAAACAAATCATTACCAAAGCGCAACATAATCATCATCATCACCACTATCTTCATCAGCAACGTGAACGTCCATTACTCAGCGGACATAATTACAGACATCGTGCCACCATCACACCAGCCATCTCGAATGTGCACAAGGCTATGCCCACCTTCAATGCTACCGAGTATGTGGAGAAGTATATAATGGAGGCGGGAAATAGCAGTCGCAGCAGCATAAGTGGCGGCCTTGTTGGAGGTATCACCGCTTTGGGTGCAGTCATTCACACTTCGCCCACACCAATGCAAATGTTGCAAAATGCACGTCGCAAATATCATGTAACACCGCAAACGCCTGCTATGATCTGTCCAAATCTATTGAAAACGCCACGCACACAGGTTGGCTTACGTCGTAAGTCGTTCACGAATCTCTCCGGTAAAGCTAATACCATGCCCACAACTACAAAAGATCAGGAAACGGCTGTACCGCTTATGAAGCGGCACCGCAGTTGTGGACCACGCCTTAACACTGCCGTCGGAGCGGGCTGCACGAATAATGAAAGTGATAAAAATTTTAAATTTATTATTAAGAAATGTACCATCCCAACGCCGGTCGAGGTCAATGATCAATTGCCCAGTCAAGTCGACGCACTAGCGGCCGCGGTCAGTATTTCGGCGCACGCGAACAAAAGTAAAAGCGTTGACAATATTGTGGAAATGTTACGTAGGTTAAAAGGTCAGCCGCAGTCATTGACATTGCCACAAACACAAGGGTCAACACAGATGGCACGCAGTCGAAGTGTAGTGCATGATTTGACCACAGGCGTAAACGAAAAATCAATCAAGTCCTTGCTGGTAAAACAAACGAAATCCAACACGACTGACGCGTCTCAACTCGCAGCAAAAATGACGGCTTCAGCTAGTATACGCACAGTCGGACGCAAGCTTGTGACTTGGCGGCGTTCGAGGCGTCATAACGTTCGACTAGCCGCTAATGCCAGCAACACCAAGTCCGCTAGCAGCGTTTACGTTTGCAAAAAGACGCCAATAGCGTTGATCGGTGTTGCGCCCACAGCAGCGACCTTAACTGTTGCGGAACGTTCACGCAATTCATCTGTGAACTTTCAAAAGCCAGCTTCAATAACAAACGCCGTAGCAAAAATCTAAAGAAACGGTACATACGCAAATATATACGTACATATATCAGAGTAACAATTGTTATATTATATAAAAATTTTATTATTGTTCCACTTAGTTAATTTGTTCTTAACTGTTATAAAATGGCATGCGTGTTTTATTAAACTTTTGAACATTAGGTATTGAACAATTTCGACTTCTTCTTCACCTTCTTCTTACTTGGGGGCGGTGTAGCGTAGTGCTAGCGCTTCTTTAGCGGCGGATTTGAGAATTTTGTTTTCAATTGCATCAGCGTCGGTATGTGCTTTATTTTTCTAGAATGAAAAGTGAAATTTTTAGCTTTCAAAGCGTTTTTTTAATCGAAAAAATCATGCATTAAGCCGCTGACTGATCCAAGGCAAGACTATGTAGGCAATTACATATTTTCCTACCTAATAAAAGTAGCCAAGATCAATATCTATAAGAACTGGACTTAATACAAGTTATCGTCTTCAATTTTAAACTTGAATATAAACCAGAGCTTAAGAAAACCTGTTTTTAAACTTCAAACAATTAGTCTTCTGTCTACATTATTCTTGTTTGTTTTTGATTAGGTTAGGTTAGATGGTAGGGAGGATCCTGACTAAAGGTGACCCAGGTTCCCACTTGGACAGCTGTGAACGCTGGTTTTTTCTAATTCCCAAAACCCGCTAGATATGTATCAATAGACTCTTTTAGTTCGCCGAAGCGCGTTAAGTAAATTTTAAAAAGCAAGTAATATCAATCCCAGCAACTTCGTTAGGTTTGCCGAAAGTGTGTCTACCGAGATATTTTAGCCTCAATCACGAAGAGAGTCAGCGTTTCAGCAGCTCTGGTTCTGCGGTCCGTTCAGTTGTATATGTACGAACCACTAAAAAACATCGTCTTTCAAAATAATTTTTACTATAGCGTGGCAGACGTAAAGACTATTGAATGTTACTACCAGAAAATGAACTGTATTTAATCTCACCACAGCTAAAAAGACCATATCTAGCTCTAAAACTAAAACTGAATAAGACAACAGACCTGTGTTCTTGAAGTAAAGTACAAAAAGACACACAGCATTTAGTGCAAAAATAAAATAAGTTGAACAAATCAAGGCGCTCACCTGTGCGGCTGGTCCTCTTAAACGCTTCAATGGCACTTTTATTGCATGCTCTGTTTTCTTAATCAACTTGGTCGGTAAACGAATTGGCGTCTTCTTTTGCGGTATCATTGTTTGTTTAAATAGTGTCATTGCTTTTCCACAAATGTCTAAACCAACTTCGGGATCGAAATCTCTTTTGATCTTATAGTTAACCTCATAGACACGTTCAAAATTACCAGTGGGCGAAAGTGGATTACGCGGCAAATCGACAATGACTTTCACCAAATCTTTCAATGCCAAAGGACAAATACGTGCCGTCACGTCGGTGGATGGCGATAGATCCGGCGTTGAATTGATTTCAATTAATATCGGATTATATTGTTCGTCTAACATTAAATCACAACCATACAATTCGAACGAATTTTCCACAAAATCAGTCTCCTCTAAACTGGCCATCACAACAGCAATTAGGTTCTCTTTAAAACCCGGATAGATACGCTCTTCCCATATATTGTCGGGGGCATTCGAATGTTTTAGATAGACTTTGAACTGTTCCAATGACCACATATTGTTCTTAGGCAAACGCATATCACGATTTGGTTTATTCTTATAACGCTTCTGTACCGAATTATTCGTTAAGTGTATCGATTCGCGTAGATCATCGATGGTGAACTCCTGTGAGCTGAAGCGTAAGTAACAATCTCGATATAACCATATAGATAGCGTGCAATCACTAATGGAGAGCAGCATATATTGACGTATATCGAATTTGGTTTTATGTATCAGGAGTGGACGTTCTGTTGGTTAAAAAAGATTTGGTTACTTTTATAATTTAATAAATTGTTTTAAATTAGATTTGTTTTAGGAAAATTAGATTTCGTAAAATCAAAAGTAGTTATTGTAGTTCTATAATAAATATAAGACGGGTTACTACCAGTATGTTCCCAAAGTAATCGTAGATCTATGTAAACGACTTTATACTCTTCGAAGATTTGGCTAGGCCTGTTTTTATTTGATCGATAACTCAGACCCAACCCATATCTAGCGTGGTAACGCTATAGCGCAAGGGTATTTAAGGGATTTTAGGTACACGAGCTCCGAATAATCTCAGAATAGCATTACAGAGCCGCTATTGCGGAACATTTTGTAATTTTCCGTAACGTGCATATCTGGCTGACCTACAGCTAGTTTTTATGCGCCCAGCTAGTCCGCGATGATCCTAAGTTTGCAGAGCACCACCTTATAGAAGCCGCTTGAAGGAAAGACTACTTATTGCCGACCACTCATTCAATCATCTTGCAAAACAAAAATAGATCAATGTATTTTAGCAGCGGTCCCTGGTTGACCATCTCATAAGCCTTCGTCAGATCAAGTGATAGTATTCTCTTATAAGGTGGATTTTGTAAAGTTAAATGTTGCATAACTGGTTTGATAAAGAACTACACTCAGGTTTTATGTAAACCAGCTTCTCGTCTATAATAGAAAGTCATTGGAACATCTGTCTAACATTCCCAGGAAGGGTTATAATCAAGTATTATATCTATAGGACGCAGCCATTATGGCGTATTCTGTAATCTAAAACGGAGTTCCAGTGCAGACCTACAGGATCTTTCTATATGCCATACTAGACCTTGACGGTCTTAGATAGAGAGAGCGCCACCTTACAGAAACCGATTGGACCGATAAATTACTTATTACCGACCGCTTATTCAACTGACTTAATCTAAAGATCGCTCAATGTCTTTTAGTAACGTCCCCAGCTTGACCTTGCCAAAATCCTTCGACAAATCAGAAGAAAATGTTCTCTTACAAGGTGGATTTTGTATAAAACGAATTCAATCTTGCATAGCCGGTTTGATGGAGTAGTTTACAGTATGAAGTAGTGACACATGTGGTAAATTAAATAGTGTTTAGTTTTACAAAAAAGATGTTAATTTACTACTTGAAATAAACAAATACTATTCCCAATCAAACAGCAACCTAAAACTGCTTAGACTTCTTTTCTCTTTACACTTTAACTTTAACTTACCCAAATACTTCTGTGCGATATATCTTCTTTGGGGATTGTTGGTTGCCCATTGCAAAATCTCATCAATGGAACTACGTATGATAATACCCAAGCCGCGGCACTGATAACCTGGCTTCAGTATCCACAGATTACGGCAACCGTCCCACTTGTAATCTCGGCGGCGGTCTTCTATTTTAGTCAAATAAATACGACTTAGTTTGGACACCTCCTCCAGCAAAGGTACAGTCACTTTAATTTTGGCATTATTACGCATAACTTGATTTGAATCCACAATAAAATTCTGCCATTCGAGATTTTCACTTTCCGTATTTTTTACGCCGTCGTCATCCAGTGTACGATGTTCGAATTCATCGAAATGTTTCTTCAAATTTGTCACAGCAAAATGTACCACAGATATCGATACTGTACCCTCATCCGGATCCGCCAACTCCGATAAACGTTGACCATGCTCCAAGATATATTTGAGTAAACTACGACACTGGGTTTGACGAAAATCCTCTATGAATGCCATGCGCTCTTCCGAACTACCACCGAGCCGATAAAAGCGTGGATGACTCATACCGCAAACGCCCTGCTGATGGAACCACTGATGCTGTTCGGCGCAACCAATCAAACCAACTTTGGTAGAAAAATCCAAATTGCGGCCGCGTCGCACACGATTACGCAGCGGCAGCACATCCGTATGCGCATCGCGTTGTGCCTTCGGTTGCCAAATGAAAAATGCCGGAAAGTGACTTATAATTTTCGAAATGGCCACCGCTTCATAGTCATTGCCACGCTTAGCATGCTGCAGCAATACCTCCTCGGGTAGGCTTTGCAATTTCGGATAACGATTCGGTGCCAATTTCTCCAACCAACCGCGATTCAGCAATGCGCGTCTGATTGTATGGTAATTACCGTAAACGGTGAATATGCGCCGATTGCGAAAAGCATCGATCACGCGCGAGCGATAGATGCTCGATAGCGTGCGCGTTTGCGCAGCGCTGACCGCTTGACCGTCACTCAAAATCGCCATACTTTTATTCACCTCCGGATAGACTTTGTATTTCGAGCCGCTGCTGGTGTGACCAAGTATATAATTTACGTTCGCTGTGGTTGGATTTAAGACGTTAATTTTTGAAACTGCGCAACGATGTGAAAGTGCCGCCAACTCGGCGTCCAGTGTTTGTATTAATGAACGGATTTTATAGACGGGATTGTAGTATTGGTTTCTATAATTTGGCCAAGACGTTGAGGAACGTTGCATTCTGTTTACAACAAATTTAGAAGCAGAAGCCGAAAATTTTTTTTTGGAAAATTTTACAATTTTTTGAATGAAGTTTGGTGAAAAATCCCATTTGTGAAATTTCTCCATGGAATTTGTCAAAATAACCGATATCAATTATTACGAAAGAAACCTCGAAAAAAACTAAAACAAATATTATATTAAGTCAAAGCTAGTAAATAATAAGAGACATCGCATTTGGATACATTTTTAAAACAACAAAAGTCGAGGGTGGTTGGAGTGTTCAAAAAACGTGGATCTGCGCACCCAAATTTCTAATGGACGAAATGTTTCATACCCAATAATTGGACAGATTCAAATATGATTGCATTCGTGTTTTATTGCCTAAAACACGGTCCATGGTGGTACGTAGACCTGCGTGTAAAAAAGTAATTAAGAAATAAATACAAAAATATTTATAAAAAAAAAAAATAAAACTAAATAAATAAAAACAAATAAAACAAAAAAATTATTTTTTAAATAATCAAATAAAATAAATAAAAAAAATAATAAATAAATGAAAAAACACATAAATAAATAAAAATAACTAAATAAAAAAAAAAAAACAAACAAATAAATAAAAATATCTAAAAAATAGGTAAATAAAAAATAAATAAATAATGAAAAAAACTAAATAAATAAATAATAAAAAGAAACAATTTTAAAAAAATACTAAAAGTAAATAAATAAATACAAAAAAAAAAACAATTTAAAAAAATATACTAAAACTAAATAAATAATTTAAAACATATATTTATATAAATATAAATAAAAAAATAAATAAAAATAAAATAAATATATAAAAAAATAAATATATAAAAAAATAAATAAATAAGTAAAAATAAATAAATTAATAAAAAAAATAATAATAAATAAAAATACTAATAAAAATAAATAAATAATAA